TTATATTTTGCAAAATCATCACCGTCCGATTCGCTGATGCTACCTGATGAATGATATCTTTACATACACGATAAATATATTTAAAGAAATTCTGTTATTTGTACAGGATAACGCAAGAAAAGTACCTCTTGATAACCTTTTATATTTAATGAAAGAACACATAGAGGTCTTAATTATATCAAAACATACAGGCTGATAAATAAATTTTACTTTACAGCTATTTATCTAACGCGTACAGTGTATACAGGGTAGTTCACAGTAATGTGTCCTGCCCTGTCTCAGTGAAGTTGGTCCAACTATCAAAATACCTTTTTTTAATGAAATTTGACATATTATTATTATTATCAAATTCTAGTGGTACAGATGGAATAACTTTGCATATGATACTACTATGTATACCTGAAATTGATGTGTACTTAACGCATATTATAAACTGCTGTTTAGAGAGGGGATATTTCCCCAATCAGTGGAAACGCGCTATAGTTATTCCGCTACCTAAGTGTTCTGATCCTACTAACTATGGTCAACTGAGACCGATCAGTCTACTGCCAATTTTTTCTAAAGTATTAGAACGCGTTGTTTACGAGCAGCTGTGCGCCTGCTTATATTGTAACAAAATTATTCCATCTAAACAATCTGGATTTCGACAAGGTCATAATACAGACAATATAACAATGGCACTTGATAACCAGAAAGCAGTAGCTCTCATACTTCTTGACTTTACTAAAGCGATTGACACCATTAATCACTCACTTCTTCCATCTAAATGCCGTTATCATGGATTTTCTGAAAAACCTCTTTCGTTTATTCAAACCTATCTTGAAAATCGGTATCAAAAAGTTCGTCTAAATCAACAGTACTCTACGGAACAAAAAATTTGTTCTGGTGTACCGCAGGGATCAGTCTTAGGACCGCTATTATTTCCATTATATATCTCAGATTTAGAAACAGAGGTAAAATCATGCAGCATACAATTTTTTGCAGATGATACTCAAATTTGCTATTCATTTAGGAGTAATGACTTGGAAACGGCAAATAATAAAATTAATCAAGATCTTGCCCAAATTGAAAAGTTCAGTAGTAGTCATAATCTTCGTTTGAACCATTTGAAGACAAATATGTTGGTATACGCAAATAGAACAAAAAAGAATTCCTTAAAAAAGGACATAGACATACATTTAAAAGGTAATAAATTAATTCCTGTGGATCATTCGAAAAACCTAGGTATTATAATGGATGAAGACTAAATCACATAAATCTGCGAGAAAGCAATTGTGTGAATATTTCGTGTTTTTAAAGATATCGTATTGCTTAGTGGTTTACTATCCCTATTTAGATATTATAACAAGAATTCGTATTCAAACTATTATGAATACATGTTGCAGACTTGTAAATGATCTCAGAAAATATGAAACTTGATAAAATGTATAAGTACCAGCTCCTAAATCTGACTCATAAGGTTCTTTATTCAAAAACACCGTCATATTCAGTAAAAAAATTCATACGTAGAGGGAATATGCATCGTATTAATATTATATATAGAGAGACTTTTTCAATTACACGCCACAGCACGTCTCTATTTCAGAATACATACATTTACAATGCGATCAAATCATTTAATTCTTTAGACCGCAGTTTAAAAGAAACCAATCCATTATCCAAATTCAAGAAAAAAGTGAAAGAAGTTCTTCTTGATCAGCAGCGAAATCGGTTGTAACCCATAAGTGTCCTCATATTTTCCTTATGTATTTACTTGGATTATACTTTATTCTGTCGTTATTGTACGTATACAGGTGCCTATTAATTTTCAACAAATTCTTTTTTTTTACATCTCGTATTGTTAAGGGGGTTAGATGGTAGAATAGATATACAGGGTGTCCCAGAAGTCGACATCAAGCCGAAACCGGGTGATAGGCAAAGTCATAACAGCTATCAGAAAAATATTTAAAAAAATTTTATGTATGTGTTTTGAAAATTATAGGTCTTTGAAAAAAATATAGAAATTTCACACCCTACGGCAGTCTGTCAACTCCTGTTACTACAAATATTAACTTTTTTTGAATTTTATTTTTACAATGTAATGATGAATAATGCATCTTCAAACTGATGTCTCAACCTTACTGCCAACTTTTCTCGTTCAGCAAAAATTGCCACTTATTTCCCAACCAAGTATTCCAAAGTAAAACTTTGCTCAACTTTAACTGGCTGTACTGGAAAAAAATGTACTACGAGAGTTTGGCAAGTAACCTTAAAAGATGGCGCATTTAATAACGATTCCAAAATGGTATAACACTTAGAAGATTACTCGTTAACTTATGCACAATTTTTATTTGAAGAAAAACTGATGAAAATTTTTCAAAATTTCCTAATTAAACAGCGATTATGAAAACGCACAAGGACCCTTAAGGATAAGTGCTTGCACAACAGTGGGCGTCAAAATTCTGCTGATGATGATTCACCTTAGCAGCAAATGCTCAAACTGTTTTCCTTCAGCCGCAATACACGCTCGACATCTTCTTAAAAAAGATCGGGGTATTAAACGAGCGAATCCACGGTTATTAACAAACTCAGCTGCTTCCAATAGTCTTTGCCGTAGCTCAGCTACATTTTGAATCGGCTTGAAATACACTTTTTCTTTTACAGTTCCCCAGTAAAAAAATCTAAAGGATTCAAATCAGGTGATCGGGCTGGCCACGGTATTGTATCAGACCGCTTTATCCATCTGCCTCGAAAGTTTTGATCGAGATACTCTCTCACTGAGAGTGCATAGTGCGCTGGGCAGCCATCATGCTGAAACCACATGTCCCTGTAAATACTCAGTGGCACGTCCACCAATAAATTTTGTACATGATTTTGCAAAAAACCTAAATAAACCTCACCAGTCAAAGTCTCTGGGAACTCAAACGGACCGATTATTTTACCATTTAAAATTCCTGTCCAATGGTTTATCTTGAAGCGATATTGAGATTTATCTTCTCTCATCAAATGTGGGTTTGCTACGTGCCACTCGTGTAAGTTATGCAGGTTCATGTACCCATCTTTCTTAAATGTGGTCTCATCTGACCATAAAATTTTTTAAAAGAACCGTGGATCTTCCCTGTGTCTTTCTAACATTGTGCGACAAAAAGCAACTCGGGGCTCATAATCCCGGGGCAGAAGAGCTTGAACACGCTGTACGTGGTATGGATGGAGCACGTTTTTTTGCAAGATTCTATGGGCTGTACTTTTGGGCACACCTGTTTTTAGTTCTATTGCACGCACTGAAGTACTCGGGTCTTCTTCGACAGCTCCTAGCACCACGTCTTCGTAAGGAAGGAAAGATCTTCCCTCACCGTGTGATTGGTTTGGTAGTTGGCCCTCTGAGAACAGTAAGCGGTGCACATTTGTGAACACTCGATGATCTGGATGACGAGCTGCATTCGGGTACCTCTCACAGTAAAGTCTCGCTGCAGCACTAGCGTTGCATCTGCATTCCCCATAAATGAGGTGCATGTTAGCATATTCTTGTACGGTGTACACGGACATAGCGGCACTGCACAATCACACTATCAAAGATAGTCTAAGTAAAGCAAATGTTGTTTTGAAGAGCAATTAAACAGTCCAAATCCAAATCACAAGCGATCAACAGTCCAGTTCACGAATCCAAAATTAGTAACAGTACGAAATCAACAAGCACGAACATGTAAAGATGCGCAGTAAACGAAGGAGTACTGATCGGTATCACAGTGTGCAATAGCAAGTAAGTGCTTCATCCATACCACATACAGCATGTTCAACCTCTCCTGCCCCGGGATTATGAGCCCCGAGTTGCTTTTTGTCGCACAATGTTAGAAAGACACAGGAAAGATCCACAGTTCTTTGAAAAAATTTTATGGTCGGATGAGACCACATTTAAGAAAGATGGGTACATGAACCTGCATAACTTACACGAGTGGCACGTAGCAAACCCACATTTGATGAGAGAAGATAAATCTCAATATCGCTTCAAGATAAACCATTGGACAGGAATTTTAAATGGTAAAATAATCGGTCCGTTTGAGTTCCCAGAGACTTTGACTGTTAAAGTTTATTTGGATTTTTTGGAAAATCATGTACAAAATTTATTGGTGGACGTGCCACTAAGTATTTACAGGGACATGTGGTTTCAGCATGATGGCTGCCCAGCGCACTATGCACTCTCAGTGAGAGAGTATCTCGATCAAAACTTTCCAGGCAGATGGATAAGGCGGTCTGATACAATACCGTGGCCAGCCCGATCACCTGATTTGAATCCTTTAGATTTTTTTACTGGGGAACTGTAAAAGAAAAAGTGTATTTCAAGCCGATTCAAAATGTAGCTGAGCTACGGCAAAGACTATTGGAAGCAGCTGAGTTTGTTAATAACCGTGGATTCGCTTGTTTAATAACCCGATCTTTTTTAAGAAGATGTCGAGCGTGTATTGCGGCTGAAGGAAAACAGTTTGAGCATTTGCTGTAAAGGTAAATCATCATCAGCAGCATTTTGACGCCCACTGTTGTGCAAACAGTTATCCTAAAGGGTCCTTGTGCGTTTTCATAATCGCTGTTTAATTAGGAAATTTTGAAAAATTTTCATCAGTTTTTTTAGACAAATAAAAATTGTGCATAAGTTAACGAGTAGTCTTCTCGTTATTAAATGCGCCAACTTTTAAGGTTACTTGCCAAACTCTCGTAGTACATTTTTTCCAGTACAGCCAGTTAAAGTTGAGCAAAGTTTTACTTTGGAATACTTGGTTGGGAAATAAGTGGCAATTTTTCCTGAACGAGAAAAGTTGGCAGTAAGGTTGAGACACCAGTTTGAAGATGCATTACATTGTAAAAATAAAATCCAAAAAAAGTTAATATTTGTAGTAACAGGACTTGACAGACTGCCGTAGGGTGTGAAATTTCTATATTTTTTTCAAAGACCTATAATTTTCAAAACACATACATAAAATTTTTTTAAATATTTTTCTGATAGCTGTTATGACTTTGCCTATCATCCGGTTTCGGCTTCACGTCGACTTCTGGGACACCCTGTATAATCTAAATCTCGCCTCCTGTAAGAATATTACAAATAAAAGACGTTAATTATTATTATATTAGCGGAAACGTATTTGAAAACTAAAATGTATTTCTGATAACATACGATATTTTTATTAAATATTAGCCTGAAATACTACGAGTACATTCTTTTGTAACAAAGAAAAAATATCTTACTCTGCCAGTTTTTAAGATATCCAAAAAATCAGTGTTGTGCTTCACTTTACTTACACTATTTTTTATTAAATTTGAAACTTCTTCATTATGTACAATTTGAGCAGTCACTACCAAAACTTACAGGTACGCTCGTAATCAGTACCTTAGCCCTTCTCTAATCATTTTATTGACTAGACCAGTCCTTTAATCGATAATAATTTCTCACAAACTAGTCCGAAAGAGCGTACGCTACTATCCCAAAGTGGCTTCTGTGGAGGGCAAAATGAGCGGCAACTCGTACGTCTTATTATGATTGAACACAATGTTGACCTCCCTGGCACGATCTTCGCAAATGATTGCCGGATACCAAATGTAGATGTTCTGTGTTTCAACAAAATGGCGGACTTTCTCCAGGCAAGGGCACTTGAACGTGGGATTATCCAGGAACGCGAGACTGGCGACGCCGCTGTGGAACAGTGTGTCTGGAAAGCACAGGAGTTTGTTGGTGTTGATCTCCAGATGTCGGATAGTTCTGTTCACGAAGAGGTTTTCGGGGAGCGTCGCCAGTTTGTTGCCGTTGAGACGCAGTATCTGGAATAGATACAAAAGATTTAATAGACAAGATACAATAAGACATGAAAAATACGGGAGCGGGATCTGAACGATTAAAAGTGACAAAAAAATGTACGATACACTGGACCCCCGAAATCCGGCCCCTGTCTAATCCGGCGCCCCCTGTAATCCGACATGTCTTTGAATATGTATTACATACATACGTATTTGACAATCTTCACTAATGTCGATCACGCAGGTTTGAACATGTTACAACTTGTACGCGCCACCGCTATCGTGCTGGACGCGTAAGCATTGTTTTACTTAGTTTGAATTTGACTACTGGTGATAGCGGTACGGCCTAGCGTGCGTTCATTGTTTACTATTTAGTCATTGTGTATTAAGTATAGTACCTAGTGAATGTCATCACAAACTCAGAAGCGAAAGCACAAAACATTGACAATTAAAGAAAAATGTGATATTTTAGACCGCTTAAATCGCAATGAAACTTTCAGTAGTTTAGCAAGTGAATATGGCGTAGACCGATCTACAATTTATGACATTAAAAGAAACCACGAGAAGATCAAGAAGTCCGTGTCAACTACTGACTGCAGGCATGCACCAATTTCAGGACCCATGTTGGCCATGAAAGCTAAGTTTTTTTATAAGGAAATAACAAAAAAAAGATGATTTTGTGGCCAGCAAAGGATGGCTAGAACGTTTTAAAAGTCGTCATGGCATACGTTTAATGACTATTACAGGAGAGAAACTTTCTAACGATGCCACCTTCATAGAGCACTTTAAATTAAGATTTTTGCAAAAGGTGAACGATTTAAATCTTGACCCGTCACAGGTATACAATGCAGACGAATCAGGACTTTTTCGGCGTGTGATGCCTAACAAAACTTTCGTTTCTTGTAACGAAAAATCCGTACCTGGACGAAAAGTAAGTAAAGAGCGTGTAACCATACACACGCGCTTAAGATGATGGTCATTGGGAAATCTAATAAACCACGGGCATTTAAAAAGATTGATTTACCTGTACACTATTACGGACGATGTTTCTTCCGCCAAATTGCACTGCACTGATTCAACCAATGCACCAGAATATCATTCAGTTTGTCAAGCAAGACTATAAGAAAAACCTACTTCTGAGAGCCGTATCAAAAGACCAACCAATGCAAACACTTTAAAAGAATTTAGTATGAAAGACTTGGTTTTTGCTCTTTGTCAGTCGTGGAATGCGTTACCGTCATCAACTATTAAATCGTCTTGGAAAGAGTTATGGACAGATATAGTCACCACTCCTAGCAACGTTCCACAAATCAGTGTTACTTCGGAAGTTATAGAACAAGTCGCTACTGAAACACAGATAAGTCCGGAAGATTTGGAAATCTGGTGCCGTGGAATGGATAAAGAGGGAAATGCTTTTCATGAAATGTCTGACGAAGAGATTATAAAAGGTTTCTAATTATACAACAAACAATCAGGAAAATAACGACGACGTGATTGCAACTGCTCCACAAGTCACAGTACAAGACGCAATTGACGACTTTGAGCTAGGTTTACAATGGGCTGAAGAGAATGGTACATCCTACAACGAACTTTTACTTTTGAGAAGACTGAGGGACAAAGCTCTGATCTCGCGTTATAACAACCTTAAACAAAAAAAAAAATTGATGAATATTTCCAAGCTTCATAGTTTCATAAATTCATTAATGATTTTGATTAATAATTCTTGATTATTTTGGTACATATGTATGTGCATTTATGCTTAATTTTATAATAAAACGTAAGCTCTCTATTGTTATTTAATTTACTAAATTCGACATACATAAACTATGTATGATTTGTACTTCAAAGTACATACATATATATAACATATATAATCTTACCATTGGATATGTAATTTGTCGGATTACAAAGTACTCTTTTGTAAAAAATTCCGGACTATAGGGGGTCTTAGTGTTCTATAATCCGACAAATTCGATCGTCCGACACTGCCCTGCATAATGTTTGTCGGATTACCGAAGGTCCACTGTACTGCCTTTTGTGCAATTTTTATTATGTTCTTTGGATTTAGTAAATAGAATTTTTTTCCTAACTTGCCTAGTTTTCGAGATAAAAATCCACTTAGTTGCAAATCCGTGGACCACACAAGGAATATGGGAAAAAGTTTCTTTTGGAAATCATTTTTTTTTAAATTCTATATTACTAATTATGTTAATGTTATTTAGTATTTGTTGTTACATAATTAGTAATAAGAAATTATAAAAAAAATGATTATCAAAAGAAACTAAGTGAACTTCTTTCTCGAAAATAAGCAAGGTACGAAAAACAATTCAAGATACAAGAAAGTTGTAATTCTATTTGCTTAATCCAACGGACATAATAAAAATTATAAAAAAGTCAGTGGCGTACATTTTTTGTCACAGAGACGCCACTGGACTTAATAAAGGGATAAACTAGCTCCTTAATATTTTGAAACCAAATTACAACATTAGGTAAAGGACATTTAAGAAATTTACGGAAAACCTTTTTTTTTAATTTTAACACCCTATATCTTGAGAACGAAGAATTTTATATGAACTTTTTGACTTAAAATTACTCAAACAGTCATCTGTTAAATTTGTGGTGCCTACTCGATCAACACCCTTTATAATTCCAGTTCAGATGCGATAATTGACTTGCGCTTATCCAATTTCAACTGAACCTAACGATTGCAAATCCTTATAAAAATGATCTTGTGAATATTCTCAACATTTCGCAGAGTGGACACTGTTGAAAATTTCGCGTTTCCCGCAGTATGCCAAAAACTTCGAAATCTGAATCGTTTCTTTCTCTTATACTAAGTGACATATAAATCCGGACACCCAGTTTAAATGGTTTTATTTTAATAAAAGTTGGTGAATGTATTTATCTTACTGTAAATAACAAGTGCAAAAATTTTCAGCCTTATCAGTTGGACATTCCGGTTTTTATACTGCTTTTTTTTAATTCACTAACGCTCTAAAAATGAATATCTCAGCCGCAGTAAAGAATCAACGTTGGCGGATTTTGGTTCTTGACATCCTTTACGATCGGTTACGATGCCTAGAGTACGGAGACCTGTACGATTTCGTCAACTTAGTGAGTTTGATAGGGGCCGAATAGTGGGACTTCGGGAAGCTGGACTTTCTTTTCGGGCAATTGCAGTTAGAGTGCAAAGAAGTGTAGACACTGTGGTTAGGTGTTGTCAGGCATGGCTTCGAGAAGGCCGTACGCAAAGAGCAAGGGGCACTGGACGCCGCCGTAGAACAACAGACCGTGAAGATCGCCGCCTAAGATTATTGGCCTTAAGGGACCGTTTCTCCACTATCAGGTCCATTGCAAATGAATGGTTTGCAGAACACGGAAGACCTATTGGCATGCGAAGTGTTTACCAACGAATGAGAAGTTTTGGCTTGTTTTCATACCGGCCACACTGGGTCCTCCCTTTAACTCGAGAACACCGACGTAATCGCCTTGAGTGGTGCAGACAACGGTCACTTTGGGATCAGGAATGGAACAGTATTGTCTTTAGTGACGAGTCTCGATTTTGTTTAGGCATGCACCATGGTCGTGCCAGGGTTAGAAGGCGACGTGGTGAAAGGAGGAATCCACAGTTTTTTGTTGAAAGACATGTTCATCACACTGTTGGAGTTATGGTTTGGGGTGCTATAGCTTATGGTTCCAGGTCACCTTTAATCTTCATCAGAGGTAACATGAACGCGCAGCGTTATATCCACGAAGTTCTAGAACCCCATCTTTTACCCTATCTTGACACCCTGGCAGATCCAACTTTCCAACAAGATAATGCCCGACCACATGTTGCAAGAGTCACAATAGACTTCTTTCAACATAATGATGTCAAATTGTTACCATGGCCACCAAGATCTCCCGACTTATCCCCAATTGAGCACGTGTCGAATATGATGGGTAGGAGATTGCTCAATTTGCAACGTCCTCCTCAGACTCTAGAAGCACTTCGAGAGGAGTTGGTGGTTGCCTGGAATGAGAGACCACAGGAGGATATTGACCACCTGATCAGAAGCATGCCTAGGCGCGTTGGAGAATGCGTAGCACATCAGGGTGCATCCTCACATTATTAAAGGTCAAAGGGCTTTAAAGCAGTGCAATCATTTTGAAATTTTTATCATTTACTTATTATGCTTCATTAAGTACTGATACACAATTTTATTAAAATAAAACCATTTAAACTGGGTGTTCGGATTTATATGTCACTTAGTATAATTCCAGTTCAGATGCGATAATTGACTTGCTCTTATCCTATTTCAACTGAACCTAACGATTGCAAATCCTTCTAAAAATGATCTTGTGAATGTACTCAACATTTCGCAGAGTGGACACTGGTGAAAATTTTATAAAATTTTGAAAAATATGAAGAAAATATTTACTAGTTTTAAATGCAATAAATCCCAATGCTTTAAGTTACGTTTCCCGCAGTATGCCAAAAACTTCGAAATCTGAATCGTTTCTTTCTCTTATTTAAAATGTTCCAAAATCTCATATCTTGCTTATTTCGATTGGAATGCTATAAAAAGTTATACATTTTGAGGGAAAAATATTTGGTGACAATGGAATGCAAAAAATATTACGCATTCTTGAAAATACTGCAACTTAGCGCCTTATTGAAAAAAGTTGTACCTACTCCAAGGGTAATTTTTAAAAATGGTTTGTTTTATAAATATATAATTGGGAGTTCACTGATAGAGTGAAAACAGCACACATCATTAAATTTAAGTAAAAGCTTTATTTTTCCATTAGGTCTGTGTCAGATGCGCATTCCATTTAAAAAAAATATGACTATTCCTGAGAAGGTCACAAGCCACATATACTAAGTGACATATAAATCCGAACACCCAGTTTAAATGGTTTTATTTTAATAAAAGTTGGTATTTATCTTACTGTAAATAACAAGTGAAAAAATGTTCAGCCTTATCAGTTGGACATTCCGGTTTTTATACTGCTTTTTTTTAATTCACTAACGCTCTAAAAAT